TAGGCGAAGAACCAGGCGACCCAGCCGTTTGCAGTTCTGAATTGAACTAGTTATCCGGACCTGACGATATATCGTATGAACTTATTCTATTGAACGTGCAGCTTTTCTTACCTGCAGACTCATTGCCAACGACAAAAGTCAGAGTGTTCGGTCTTTGGCCAGGAGGGGATAGAAGTGCCTTCTTGGCCGTTGCTAAGAAGCCCTTGAGTGAGGCCCGGGTTGACGACATGATGAAGTATTAACTGGGCTCGAGTCGGGGTTGGGGTTGCAAGTCGCAGCATGAATCAACCGTAGAAGGCTCTCAGGGAATTCAGTCTTCGCTCACGGTGTGGTCCGTTGGTGTAACATACGTAACGGGTCTTGGCATAATGCGGACCGGAGCCGATGCTGACCGTTGACTCCGTCACATGCCGAGTGGGGACGGTGGGCCGGGCTTCTCGGATCCGATTCTCGGACTGTCAACCCGAGACAGGTTCAGGTTAGGCCCTCTTTCCCTCTCTCATACCAACTTTTAGTGGCAACTCGCTGAAACAGTGAACCAGGGGAATGTGACACAGGACCAATCCGTCGGGATCAGCCTTATCAAAAACCATCTTTTAGTTAGCCCCCGAGTTAGTTAACAAACCTTCACCGACTCTTGTATTTAACCCCCAAACAGATTCAACGAGTTAACTGAGTCAACTGAGTCAATAAAGTCAACAGAGTCACCAACATCATCAACATGCCTCTCCGCCTCGCAATCCTCGAAGCCGACACGCCCGTCCCGGCCGCCAACGAGCGCTATGGGGGGTATTTTGGCGTATTCAAGCACCTGTTCACCCGCGCCGTAGCCCCCGCGCCGCTCGAGTCCGAACTCATCCTCACCGGCCACAACGTGGTCCATAACCCCTCGACGGCCTACCCGAATCTGGAGGATGTTGACGCCATCCTGATCTCGGGCTCCAAGCACAACGCCTTCGAGGACGACGAGTGGATCCTCACCCTCGTCGAGTTCGTGCGCAAGGCCCTGCTCCACGACCGGGTAAAGGTGGTGGGCATCTGCTTCGGCCATCAAATCGTTGCCCGGGCGCTGGGTGCGTTGGTTGCGCGGAGTGACCAGGGATGGGAGATCAGCGTGGTTGAGACGCGGTTGACTGAGAAGGGGAAGGAGGTGTTTGGGAAGGAGAGGGAGACGTTGGTAAGTTGTTGCTCAGCTGTGATGGTGGCATCGCGGCATCTAGGGTTGTGAGACCAGGCTAATTTGCTGGCAGAATATCCAGCAAATGCACCGCGACCAGGTGTTTGGCGTCCCACCTGGCGCCGAAGTACTAGCGTCGACAGACAAGTGCCCGAACCACGGCTTCCTCATCCCCGGCCGCGCGATCACCGTACAGGGGCATCCGGAGTTTACCGAAGACATCATGGGGGAGATCCTCGAGCTACGGCACGAGTCAGGGCTGTTTGTTGATGACTTGTACCGGAGTGGCAAGGAGCGGAACGGGGACCACCACGACGGCATTTTCATGGCGCAGGTCTTCCTGAAATTCTTGCAAGAGCAATAACAAAATACGAACGTAGTCATGTCATTCCTGGCCCGCCAGCCCGTACAATGTGACAAGCCCGCCACGCCAAGGCGATGATCGTCTGACAATCACCCGCGATGATCGCTCACGCGGCCCCCAGACTGTTGAGCGAGCCCCTTTGCGAGCCCCTTTGCGAGCTGTGAAAAAAAGATCGCCAGGACCCTGCATCTCGCGCACAATTTGTCCAGAAGGAGGAATTGTGCCATTTCACTAAAAGATGTGTACCAAGTAAACTATGCAAAACTGCTGAACGACATTTTATGCCCCTCCCCATGTCAGAAGGCCGAGAACCCGCCCCTTGCCATCTGTCATGCACCCTTAATCAGCCACAGCGCGCCCCAAATGCAAACTAAACCAGGGTATAGTGTAAGCCCCAACCGACTCCGAAACCAAGCCATGAAAAAGACCGCCGCAATGCATATGCCCGCATGCCTGTGAACAAAACCACCGCCCCCAACACCCATCAAGCCATCCTCTATCGAGCCTCCGCCCTAGGCTCTCCCCCACCTCTACCCTCCTCATCAACATCATCAACGTCAACATCATCATCATCACTCCACCCCACCCTCTCTGCCCACCCATCCCACCACTCCCTCCTCACAGGGACAGCAGCAGCAGCAACCCCCTCCCCAGCAACAGTAGTAGAACCACTCCCCCACCCCACCGCCATCGCAACCGCCCTTTCCCTCCCCCTCGCCCTCGCCCTCTCCACCTCAACCTCCCCCTCCCTCCTCTCCCTCGCCAACCGCCCATAAACCAACATCTCCTCCCTGGTCCTTCCCACCTCATCCCCCCGCAACCCCACCCCTCCCGCACCACACCCCGCACCCCACCACCACCACCAACTTCCCCCGGTCCTCCACGCCCACCGCCTGCCCAACACCGCCCAGAACCGCCTCCCGCGCGCATACCGCCACGGCGTCTCGCGCAGCAGGAAGAGGAGGCAGTCTACGGCGCCCTGCACGCACAGGCTGAGGATGGACACGACGAGCAGCCAGTGGGAGGGGGGCGGGGGGTTGACGAGTGGGGTGGAGGAGGAGGAGGAGGAGGAGGAGTCGTAGCCGAGGACGTGCGCGACGAAGGGGAAGAGCCATAGGATGATGTAGACGAGCGGGTAGGCGAAGAGGAGGCGGAGCTGGCGGAGGGTTTTCTTTTTGGGGTGTTGGCGCGTTTGAGGTGGGGGGGGTGTTCGTGGAGGAGGAGGAGTCGGGGGAGGTGATGGTTATGAAGGGGGAGGTGCCAGCGCAGTTGGTGTTGGTGGTGCTGTCGCGGGTTGGGCTGAGGATGGGGGAGGAGTCGGGCAGGTCTGAGGAGTCGGGTAGGTCTGAGGAGTCGGCGTCGGCGTCGGATTCGGGGGTTTGTTGACGTCGGGTGTGGTGGAAGGAGACGCGGCCGTTGTTGTTGTTGCGGTTGTGGTTGTTGTGGTTGATGTCCATGTTGATATCGGCCGAGGGCATTAGGCTTGGGCGGGGTATGTGTGCCGCTGCTGGAGGAGTGAGGAAAGTCGGGGATGTGGGCGAGGTAGGGTCGCTGGTGTCGTCCCCCTGAAAGCCGACCTGCCCCTCGGCCGACTGGGTGTGTGTAAATGTAGGGCCAGTTCCACTTGACAGAGTTGTGGGGTCTCTGTACGTCCACACTCGTCCTTGCGCTCGTGGGCCAGGCCGAGCTGATCGATGATGGCGGCCGGAGCGGGTCTTTGACCGTCAGTATGGTGTCGGTTGCCGAGCTCCGACGCGAGCATGGCGTGGAAGGAAGGAGTCCATTGTACCGGAGCCTGGGTGTCGAAGCAGTTACCGTTGATCGCCTGGACGCCTGCGACTGCATGGCTTCCGAGCACCGCCTTCCGTAGTCTCCCATCCTTCTTCGGATATACAAGTAGATGGATAGGTAAATGATGACGATGCTGACGCAGATGATGTACCGTGGGATCCAGCTAAGCAACAGCCGCGCCCAGCTCCTGTCGGTTCGCAAATAGCAATGGGGCCCCATGTTCTGGTACCCATTGCCGCCGATAAATGCTAGGCACGCAGCCAAAGTCGGGTACAAATAGAAGACCAAGTAGGCCCGTCGGCGATACGGGTAGAGCCCTGCCCTTGGGCGAAAGATATACATGGCGGAGTGGAGGGCAATGAGCAAGACGGCAATGTCGGAAGACTCGATGCCCACAGCGAGAACAAATCCGCTGACCTGGCAAAAGGCTGAGTCGGAAGGAACAGTACCCCCAACAAAGCTCACAATGGCGAATACGACCAAGACCATCGACTTTGCGAAATCGCTTTGGATTAGGAGCAAGATTAACCTGCTAATGGTTAGCAAAGGGCAGTCGGCTTTTCCCAGGATGGACTGGTACTTACTCGTGCCGGAAACTCCGCTTCATCTTCACGAACCAGTATAGGGCGAACAGAGTCGACAAGACACTGATCGAAGCAAAAGTGGTCGTTACGATCAGCATGACGCGGACAATGTGTTCGTCGTTGTCGGTGACTGAAGGATGCCGAGCCACGAGGGGCGACATCTCAGAAGCGGCAGCTCCATGAAAGTGGTTGAGAGGCGTCCCCGGGAACGTCCATCTCGGCACCGTCATGACGGCCTGTGTTGTTTCTTCTCCCGTAATAGCGAGACTACCAGCCTAGCCTATCGTTCCAGGGGTTATCCGCAAGACGCCCGAGCATGACGGCGGCAGTGTCACAGTTGTCCGTCGAGTCTTGAGAGGAAAAACACCCCATAAGAACAGGGCGAGGAACGAGTGCCAACAGACGGCCGGTGATTTTCCTGTCGATCGTAGGAAAGAGAGCAGGGAGCGTCTATCAAAGTGGTCTTTCGGCGGGTTAAGACGGGTTGTATTAACCGTGGATCGTCGAGGTGCAAGACACAAACGGATGGTCAAAGAGAGTAGGCAAAGGACATTGGAATGGATGGCAGAACCAACAAAAACCAGAAACCAGCAGGGGCGAGAGCACGGGAATACATACGAATAAAAAAAGAAATCAGGGCTGTGGTGTAATCCAAGACCCTCGGCAGGCGAGCCGGAAGGTTAGGCCGTCCTGGGGAGGATCGGCATGATCAGGCGAGGTGCCCCGGATGTGCAGCAAGCCGAGTCGGGCGCTTGAGAAGCAAACGCAGCACATTTTTTTGCAATTTTGCATTTTGGAATTTTGTATTTTGCCCATTTCGCCCATTTCGCCCAGTTGCGAAACCGCAAGAGACACGGAGGGGGCTGTCGTCCACGTCACAACCCTGGTTGGCGGTGATTGCCCATGCAAAGGCACCAATGGAGTGAAAAAGCACACCTCGGGCCAAGCGAGGTGCTGTGAAAGAGGAACGGGAGATTGCGGCTGTGAGGTATTCCGTCCGCAGGATCAAGGCCGAGGTAGACCGCCACATGCAGGCGACTGATGAGGCGGCCGTTGCGAACCGTCAGCCTGCGCAGGAATAAACCCAGTAAGCTTTGTCCAGTTGCGTATTTTGTCACCGACTTGGCTATGGAGGGTTGGCCGCATCTACTGGTATTGGATAGACAACATTGTGACCCGCTCTGTTGTCACCTGTGGTGTGGTGAGAGGACCAGGCGAACCAAGTTAACTCGAGCAGGCACCCCAGGTGACTGCATCTCCAAATCACCAAGTCGATCACCCGCAGCGGCCAGCGCTTCGCTCTCTTGGTGGGGACGGGACGATTCGATCTTGTGCGCGCTCCTTGTGCATCAGCTGTCCCGATCCCGGCCTTCCGGTGCGTTGTCTCGCTGGTTTCGGGTACCGGTTTTGGCGCACAGAGGGGCGTCGGGCGTAAGCCTAATTCTGTGGCTAGTTGCATCGCTATTGGTTAGACGCTAACCGTGCATCATCATGATCGCGCTGAGTCGTGGGCGAAAATGCGGGATGTTGCGCGGCTGCCGATGGGAGAGAAAGAGGCCCGTGTCCGATTCCTTGCAGCAGTTGGGATTGCCAGTGGCACCCGGGCCGGTTGGACCAGGGATGTTAGTGGGGTTGTTTTCCCGATCGAGCCAAGCGACCAGATCTGCCACAACCTTGAACATTTGGAAACCCAGATTGAGATTTGCGAAGATGATGGGTCGACGATGGGTGGGGGGGCGGAGGATGGCTCGAGGATGGCTCAGGATGGCAGGATGGGTCTATCAACTCCCAACCGGGCCGAAATTGTCGAGTCGTTTCTCACCGTTGCAAACGGCTCGTCACAATAACTAAGCGAGTCGTTCTCGAGTCATCAATGCGGTCGCTTCCTGACGTTGGAATTTCTCGGTTAACCAGCCACCCGAAGAACCCTGCAATTTCTGAGGAAAGGGACGAGTAATCGTTGCGGATGGGAAGGGGAGTTATTTTTATTTTCGTGACAAAACGCAGAGGGGTTGTTGAGAAAAGCAAGGACTAATAAGAGGGGGGGTTGCCAAAAACAAAGGGCAAACCAGACAAGGGGCAGGCAAAGGTTCAGTTGCAGTTGTGTTGTATTGCACATCTGACGAATACCAAAAACAGCATGCCCGAAACCATATCCCCATAGCGCCGTCGCGCCGAACCCAAAACCCCATCCTTGCAGGGGTGCACCAGAAAATGCAACCAAGTCAATGCGCCCTCCACTCAAAGCCATCTTCCTATCCAAGCAAGTTGATGTACGGCTCGGGCCATCGGCCCCATATCATCGGCCGGTTTCCCAAACGGCCACTAACCGGAGAAAGGACCTTGAGCCGCCGCCTGTCCTCGTCCACATCTGCGATGGCCACAAATCCCATGACTGGTGCTTGACGAATTACCTCGGGCGGGTCGTTTACTGAGGCGTTCATGACGGCGAGGGTCCAGTGGGACATCTCTGCTGAGACTTCGGCACGCTCGAGGGCTGGTTTTTTATCGTAGAAACCTGAAGCTAGCTTATTGTCAGTCATGAAAGGCCATGGTGGTGAAGAGAAAAGAAAACACTACCGTCGGGTGTCCTGAAGACAGCCACATCGTCAAAGCTGACGGACTGCGTAAACGGGCTCAGCGTCCTCTTGGCATCGCCGAAAAAATACTCCTTAATAGCAGCTTCGCGAGTAAACTTCATGAAGTCTTTATCTCGTTCTGCCACGCCATCGGACTTGTCGAGCAGGATCAGCGTAATGGCTTCTCCATGTACCGTCCGCTGATTCTCGAAGCGGCGTTGTAGCTCAGCGTGCAGGTCAACCGAGCCAAGGACAACCACGATATTAACTGTCACTGTTAGCTGCCATCCCGCAGTGCGCCCAGCTCCTAACAACCCACCTGCAAACTCATTCACCACATGCGTCAAGACCTCCAAATCCCCCTTAGCCACGCTCGCCGCGGGCGTATCCAATAACAACCCCGCCTCCCTAACCACCTCATCCGCCGCAAACTTATCCCTCACCGCACTCCCCAACTTGCCCACCAAGTCCCTCCACAACGGCACATCCTCATCCACCCTCTCCCTCCCCACGTAGTACACCATCGGCAGCTTGACCGGCACGGCGCTGGGCCCGCTGCTCGGGGTGCCGCTGACGCCGAACCCGGCGGCGGGGTCCTCAACATCCATGACCGTGCCGAACACCGCGGCACTGACCGTGCCGGGCAGCGCCAGCATCCCCTCGCGCGGGTCGACGCTTCCGACCAGCGGCTGCCCGCCCGCCCGCGTCGCCAGCGCCGCCAGCGTCCGCGCCACCGTCGTCTTGCCGCTGTCCTTCTCCCCGCAGATCATCACCCGCGGCCCGGGAGCCCCACCACCATTGGTATTATTATTATTATGATTACTCCCCCCCGCCGCGGCCGCAGCGCGCAGCTCCTGCAGCGCAAAATGCAGATTGAGCACCGGCAACTGGGGCGAGGCCTCCGGGGCCGGGTACTGGGCGACGGAGTCGACGAAGGCGCCCGAGACCTCGAGGGTGGCGCCCGTGTAGGTGAGCAGCTTGGACTGGGTGTTGCGCGGGAAGGTGTAGGTGCGGTTGAGGGCGAGCTCGGTGCCGTCGCGCTCGGCGGTGCCGCTGGTCAGGCGCACCGTCGCGCCGCCACCGCCCGCGCCCGCGCCGCCGAGCCCGATGGCGCTGATGGCGGCGTTGGTGGTGGGGATGCTGCTGCGGGGGACTTCGAAGCGCCACTCCCAGAAGGGGCGGAGGGTGATGGTACGGGTTGTGGAGGTTGTGGGTTGCTGTTCGTTTGGGAACGGGCGGGTGTGCAGGTTAGTTGATGGTGGTGAGAGGAGGGGGAGCAAATGGTAGGACGTATCGTACCTGAGGGGCAATCTGACCCAGGCCGGGGATCGACATGGTCGCTACTTCATCAACAGTCCTGTATGTAGCTGTGGTAGGAATTGGCCACTCGAGCTCAAACAGCTTCGAGCTTTCGCCAGTTATTGATGATGTGGTTTGCGGCAGGCAAGGGTGGGGCTGCCAAGGGAAATTGAGCTTGGGGATTGAAGATCGGTCCCTGGCATGTGAACACCGTCCGGGCCCAAAAAAAAAAAAGCCGGACTCGAAAGGGGAACAAAAAGTCAAGAAAAGCGAAAAAAGTAAAAGAAATCAAGAATATATTAAGAGGAAAGGAACCTGAGTAAGATAAACACTAGATTTTGGGCTTCTGAATGGCTTCCCTTTCCTTCCGATTTTGCATGGGGTGAGGTCAACCAACGCCCAAGGTATGGAAAACCTCCATCTATCAAAATGCATGTTTTATCTTGCGACAATCCAGGCGCTCTATTCAAATCTTGAACTTTTCACATGGACACTGGGTCCATCCTAGAAACTCCAAAGGCGGTAGTTTTCAAAATAACTAGACTAAAACAATAACTCGATGCAGAGACTAGGGTATTCACAAATACAATGCCACCTCTAATATCCTGTCGCTTTCGTCATAACGGGTATAAAACTCATAACCCATCCTTCTACCTTCTCGTAGCGCCATGCAAAATACCACTGCAAATCCCCGCCTGTCTGTTTCTGCCTTATTGAGCCAGCTCTTCGAAAACCTTGATGATGCTCCGAACCCCTACCAAGCTGTTCTCATCAGGGCCCTGTCCGGGAACCCACTTGGCGTGGGCAAAGTCGATGAGCTTCAAGGAGAAGATCCGTGGCTGGCTGGACAACTCATAGTCGTCATAGTCCTCATCTTCGCCATCAGTCGAAACATCTCCCATCAACTCCATCACTTTGACGTCTCCTTCAATGGCACCAGAAATTATCTGCCCATCGATCGCGGCGAAGCTTTCCTGAACAAAGCCTATCCCGTTGGATTGTGGTTCCTCGCCTTGCTCCAGATCTTTCATCACGAGGCTGCTGCACCCAGCCACGGTGCCTTTCTTTTCTTCAATGTGGGTTTTCGTTTGCTTGATAGCGTTGACCCTCTCAACTAGGGCGTTGTTTTCCTCAATGGCGGCTCGGAGCGCCTCACCATCTCCCTCAAAGGTGAACAGCAAGCTCGCCGAGTACATGCGGGTCTCCGAGCTGGCCAGGACCTCCTCCACCTGTTTTAGCTCCTCTAGGAAGGCCTGGGCGACTGCTCTCCCCAGATCTTTGTCGATCCCCGCTCTCTCGTTGAAGATGAAGTTGATAAAAGGCTGGGCGACGTTGTCCTTGCTGACGCCAAACTTGCCATAGTCCTTGCTGTAGTTTTGGAAGCCGTCCGCGTCCAACTCCTCCGGGTTGTCGGTCCCTTTGTACACGCGCATGCCTGCGATGCGAAACCCGTGTGACCCGGTTGTTGTCTGCCTGGTGACCTCGTCGAACCTCTTGCGCTTCTCCATGGGCGCGTCGTCGGCCCATAGTCGCCGGCCGAGCTTAGCGTCAAGAATGTTGGCCTTCTTGAAGCCGTGCGTGCTATTTTGGAGCACGACAGACTTGTTAGTCGGGATCCTGCGGTTTTTGTTCGGCCTCCACGAGATATCGATTATTTCTTCGGCTTGTTCGGCCGCTTGTTCGGCCGGTTCTTCGTCCGCTGCTTCGGCCGCAGCCGCCTTCGCCCTGGAGATCGCCTCCTCCTTTAGTTCCCGGCTCATATGGTCAGCAACCACCGGAAGTTGTTCGTTTAGGGATTCGATATCGGTCGCATCGTTAAGCGAGAGAGTCCCGAAGTAGAGAGGCATCAGCGAAGCGAACTCGAGGTGATCCTGAAAGGTCTTTTCGTAAAAGTCTATCTCCTGCTGAACACAGGGCTTGATGAAAAGCTCGCCGTCAACGTCGGAAAGTGTTCCATCACTATAAATCACAACGTTAAAAGCCAGAGACGACGGCGGGGTCACTATTTGCGCACTTACTGTCCTGCGACCGCATGGCTGCAAGGCTGAAGATCAGCATGTTTCGGAAGCTCTCTACTAGTCGCCATGATGTTCTATCGAAACTGTCGCAACGCTATCACCGACCTTGCGAGGAAGGGTGTCTTAGAATGGGCGCAGATTCTGCCAGTTCCGTGATCGGTTACTTATGGAGGAGGGGGGAGGAGGGATGTGGCAATAACTGGAGGCGACGGTTGCATCTGCATGGGCGCACAGAAAATGTCGAGTTGGCTCGTGCTAGGGTACTATAAACTGAAACGTGAAATAAAGGCAGCTTGTGTTTGCGGGTCGGAAAACCAGATCATTTTGTCTGAGGTTGTTTTACGAGGGAGGCATGGAATTTCGAGGCTCGGGAGTGTTGGCTGGGAATTCGCGGGGCGCGACAGCTCAGCGGGGCGAAGCGCACTTTTGCTGCAGATGCGTGGTGGGGGTTGGATCGCCCCGCTCGCACCCAGCTGCTCGGGGAGTTGGTTCATGGTTAGCCAATTAAAACCGCTTAACAACCTCTGAAGTGCCGTGCGGGCCGGCAAGGTTCCCAGGAACAAGCCTCCACCTGTCGTCACCCAACATAAGCGCTTCATCCCTTCGGGCTGAGCACGACCTGCATAGAATTGCTCGGATTCCCGACCCTGCGGCCCCGCTGAATCGCAAGGCGGACTCGAGGGTCAATCCATATCTTCTGATTACCATTCACAGAACACCACCACTTCCTGTCAGCGAATGTCGAAATACCTCACAGCCACCGAGGCCCCTCCTGCATGCGTCGTCCTTCCATTCCTGAGCGTTTTGCATCTGCACCTTGCCTTCGGCACCGCCGACATGTCGTACTCCGAGTCGACTGCTCGACATTTAGGCACCGCCCTCGGAACGACCGAACCTTCGAGGTCTGCTCGTGCATACCTTTATTAATTTCGTCGGTCCAGTCGAAGCTGAGGAATCTAGACATGAATCGGACTAGGCAAGCACCTATTCGTATGTACAACTTAAAATGTTGCTCAAGTGGGGCTTTGTTTTTCTGTTCTAGGTTGTATCCTCGAGGCTTCCTTTTGTGGCTTCGTGTTTCGTGGTACCAAATTCATAGGTTTCACTCTTGTGCGGAACTTGGCCACGAACTTCTGGGTTTCTTGCCCAATATCATGAGCCCATAACCGCCCTACATGCTCTTTCGTTTTTATTGTGGTAGTAGGTAGCTCACTTCCAAAGTTCGCATCTCCCCATCTATGACCGCTCCTACTTTTTAAGTCGCTCATGGATAGAAGTAGCTACCATAAGCCGCACGGGTCAAGCCCCTAATATAATTGAGTTAGGACGCGCAAACACATCGCTATTTTGCGTAAGAAACAGTATTTCATTGTAAGACGTTGGTAACCAGGTTGGGCAAAGGTCCCGTCCCTGGGACTACTAGGCATTCTAGGTTAGGTTCTCCGCCAGTTTCCACCGATTAATTATAGCAAGTGAGAAATTGCCTACCTATGATTGTCACGTATTTCGTCTGGATTTCTATTCTTGAGAATAATATCGATTAGGCGGCGAGGCCTGCTTCACCTTGAGGCAGGCCCTTCCTCTGAGCCTCCTTCCCGCTGCCAGCGAGATATCGGTAGGTTTTGTTCTGTTTGCTTTCAAAACCGAAATTCTGCCAGTAACCTGACAGCACATTTCAAACCTGGCGCAAGCCTCTTTCCATGCAAACTGCATTTACCAATCTTGACCGATTTCCAACCTTTCTCCCCGCCACTTTACCATTTCCCTCATTTCGCAACCCGTGGTCCATTTTGCCCAACACCAACACGCTAGACTTGGAATAAACTTCGCCGTTACGCAGCAAGCTCCCTCTAGCGCTCATAATCTCTACATAATTTACAGACCGTCCGAGATGTCTTCCCCTCCAAATTCCAGCTCGGCTCCAGTGGAGGATGCACAGAAGGATGCACCAGCCGAGGGCGCCTCGCATACCATCGAGACCGCCGAGACGCAAAACGTGAGAGTGCAGGACGCTAAACCCAAAGATGGCAAGAAGAAATCGAAGAAACGCAGCGCTGGAGCGAAGAAACGCGGGACCGGATTTGAGGGTGAGTTCTGTGGCGGATTATGGACTCGCTGTTTGCAGCCGCTGACAGATTCTAGAATTTTACTGCGACCCGCCGTTGACTGTGGCCGAGCACAGCGAAGAGAAGCACGTCATCTACCCGCCGCATCGCCCCTTCGTAGACCGCATCGAGGAATGCATTCAGCGGTTCCGTGCCCGCCGCCGCATGAGTCCAGAGCGCGAAGTTCTGTTTTCCAGATACCTTGTCCTCGGTGGCATCGACGCCACCGTGAGACAATTTCAAGGCACCCGGAACATTGGCGATGATGTCCTCGCAGACTCGACCAAAAGCGCTATCCGAGAAATGACGGCCGACGACGTGATTCAGCGTGGCGCAGATGGTAACCGCAGCGTCCGGTTTTACAACCCGAACTATCCCGACCATTGGGATGTCGACTTCACTGGCGTCGCCGCGGGATTCGTGTAAGTCCTACGCACGCCAAGCACACACTCTCTGTTTAGAGTCAACTACTAACATACTCAGGTCTGAACATCTCCCCCAGTTGGTAGGCGCTAAGACCGAACAATTCTTCATGGGGGTTGATGTGGTTCTCAACTTTCTCAAATATGTTGATCGACACGACGTATGCCCCGAGTATGCCGACGATGTCAGGGCGGCCCAAAAGGTTTGCCTGAAGGCTCTGGAAGAGTTACCGGCTATCACGGAGCTTCTGCGGCGGCTCCCGGGACATTTCAACACCGCCATCAGGGTGCTGCATATGAAGCCAGAGGACGACGACTCTTCGTATTTCAGCGCTTCTTTGGATCAAGCATTGCCCGATATCAAGTACGCCAGAGCCAGCCAGGCCGCCACGGTATCGATCCTGATGGGACCCAACCGCTTCCCAGCGGACTGCGAGTGGTCTGTCACCGACAAGACCGAGCAAACCTTCGAGGTCCTCAGTATCGACCCCCCGAGCGACGCCACGCGCGCCAAGTACAAGACCATCAACCAGCACCTCACCAGCTTCCCCGACATCCCGACCTGCGGCACCATTACCGCCCGCCCGGTCATCATCTGCGAGGGCTGGGACAACGCGGCGACCACTAGCCCGCCCGAGGCCGGCAAGAAGTGCCAGTTCGTGCTGGAAGAGGGCATCCTCCGCCTCTTGGTGGTGGGCATGAAGCTGACCATGGGCGTCTGCACGCTGAACGTCGGCCTCAAGTTCATCCAGTACATCAGGGGGATCCGGCCGAGCTTTTACCTGTTCTTGCCGCAGGAGCTGATGTTTCAGTACAAGGAGCCGGTCCCGAACGACCGCCCTGCGCGAAGCGTCTACGACCGTGAGGATGAGGGTGATGACGTGGGGGGTCAAGATGACTGAGGGCTGGGTGATTGGCGTCTTTGGAGTTCTTGGAAGATCGCCATGTGGTTGCCTAACTGACGCTGTGGTTGATTCGAGAGATGAATCAGGAAATACCCTAGAGTTAGAGAGAGAGAGCTAGGGAAATGGCTTATCTGAGAGCTCTAGTCTCGGCCAACACATGTGCATTGTGTGTTATGAAATGATGCGTTTTGCCCCGGCCTCCCCACCCCTACTGGTGGGCAGATATGTGACGACCAGTGTACTGATAGACTCCCATGGGGACAGCGGCGTTGATATGATCCTTTATTCTGACAACAACGCGCTGAAAGATTCGTCAACACCAAGGCGCATGCCCCGCCCACCCATCCAACCAAGATTTGAAAGCACACAGTATCCTACCCTACAAACCCAACACCCTGCCAGCCCAACGCCCAATTATTCCCACGCGCAGTCAACCAGCACACATTTCCACCCGGCTCAAAGCATACAAATCATCCCTTAGCAGCGAACGTTGATCGATGGGGGAGCACAAACAAAGTTCAAAACCCCCACACCGTGTTCCCTCTGTCCACGACGGCCCCAACCCCCGGTCATCTAGTCATGGTTCTGAATCTTATGATCCCCCGCCACAACCTGTGCGTAGCTCGGCGGTGGAGCGCTGCCATCGCTCGGCCCGGCCTCGGCGGTCGTGCCCTGTTCCTGGGGCTGGTGGTGGTGCTGTTGCTGGGGCGCAGAAGAGTTGCTGGTGCCGTAGTTCATGTGGCCCTGCGGCTTGGGCGGCTGCGCGTGAGCGGCCTGCTGCGGCTGGTAGCCCTGTGCCTGCTGCCCGCGGCCGCGGCCGTCGCCGTGCGTGCCGTTGACGAACACGTAGATGCGCCCGTGCTCGGCGTCTTGCGGGACGCCCTGGTAGTCGTAGTCGTAGGGGGGTTCGGGGTACTTGGCGATGATGTACCAGGCGTGGAGAAGGCCGGGGATCTGAGGTGAGGGGCGGGGTGGTTAGTGGTGGTGATGGTGATGATACAGGGCGGAAAGGGGGGGTGGTGGTCATGGGGCTATGAGTGGATGAGGAAGGGAGACCTACGTAGCCGAGGATAAGAAGGAGGATGTTAATGATGGAGTCGGCGGAGCACAGGCCGCGCTTGACCCAGACTGTTTTGGGGGACTTATTAGTTTGTGATTCTCGATCTGAACAACCATCACAAGGCAGTCGCATGCTGCGTGCTGCCTGTTGCATGTTGCGGGGTGCGGGGTGACGAACCGGCCAGCGGTGGGAAGAGTACGGCTAGGAGACCGAGAAAGATATCTTGTGAGCACATCGCGATCGAGTTACTGGGTTAAACCGACCGAGAGAAAGTCGCGATTGTTGACGTCGAGGTGAAAGAGCGTAGTTTGGGGAATTGGCTGATGGGTGGTTCAAGAGAGTCGTGGAGCAATGATGCAAGAACGGGTCTCTTGGAGTCATGCTCATCATGAGATTGGGTGGCGGTGCCTGGGGCTTGCGTAATGTGGGAAAGCGCTTTTCCCCTCTGGTTCTGGCGCCTTGGCGGACTTGGCAATGCCCCGCATTGTACTTCGGGTTAGGGTGAGAAGAGGCGCTGTGTCACCGTGCAAAGGCGGTCGGGAGAACAGCGGCAGAATTTGTTCGCCTTGCATTGCGCGTGCTGCAACTCGGTGCTTGGGACGTGCTTGGACGCCTTCCATCAACAAATGATCAATTTGGCACTTTGGCCGCTTTACTCCCACCTTCCCATCCACATGCGTTAATCACCTAAGCACTTCACCAACATCATGGATGATTTAGCATCTCTCGAATTGCTTTCCTTGGTGTCAAAAGTTACCTCTGAATTGCGGAACCATCTCGGTGTCAATGAGCCAACGCTTGCCGAGTTTATCATCGCCCAACGCCTAGAATGCGCAACCTTCGACGACTTCAAGGCGAAGCTCGACGCGACCCGCGTCGAGTTCCCCCCGAGTTTAATAGAGAGCATCGACCGCCTCGTACAGACCATGCATCCGAAATTCAAGGGGAAACAGAATGGCTCGAAGTCCAGTATCGATGAAAAACCAGCGCGGTCGGCGGAGGAACAGGCCAGGACGTTCAAAGGCCTCGCCATGCCTGACAAGGATATGGAGCTCATTGGCGATTCACTGACATTGCTTGAGCACCTGGAGCCGAAGAAGGCCGACAAAGAACGTCCACGAAAACGCAGCCGCACCCCTGACGACTCCCGGGGCGACCCAAGACGGAAACGTAAGGACAGGTATCGGTCGAGGTCAAGGTTAAGATCAAGATCGCCGGCACCGGGTCGACGGAGAAACGGCCGCTACGAGGATGACGACGACTTTCGCCGACCACCTCGCCGAGAGCTGGACGAGTCACCGCAACTGAACAAGGTTTATGATGGCCACGTCACAGGCGTCAAAGATTTTGGCGCCTTTGTGAACCTTCATGGCGTGATGGGGAAAATAGATGGGTTGGTCCACATATCGGCATTCGGGCAACGAGTCGACCATCCCTCAGACGTTGTTTCCAGAGGACAGGATGTCAAGGTCAAGGTAGTCAAGATCGAGGGCAACAGGATAGGGCTTTCGATGAAGGATGTTGATCAACAGACGGGCATGGACCTCGCGCCAGAAATGAAGCTGGGCTCTGGTGCCAACATGGAGGCTCTAGGTGGCCGTGGCAGAGCACCCGCTGTCACGGGCAACGGAACGAACGGTTCATTCCAGGCATCTGCAGTGGCCAGAAGCCAGAAGAAAAGGATGACTTCCCCGGAGAGGTGGGAAATCCGTCAGATGATTGCCGCTGGGATCGTTAAGGCCTCGGACTACCCCGACCTGGAGGAGGACTACAACGCGACGCTCCGGGGAGATGGGCAGCTGGAGTTGGAGGAAGATATCGATATCGAGATCCGAGACGAAGAACCCCCATTCTTGGCTGGACAGACGAAGCAGTCACTCGAGCTGTCACCTATTCGGGTAGTCAAGGCGCCAGATGGGTCGCTTAACCGCGCCGCCATGGCCGGAGCCAACCTCGCAAAGGAGAGAAAGGAACTACGGCAACAGGAAAACGAGTCGCAGGAAGAGAAAGCCAAGGTCGACTTGTCATCCCAATGGCAAGACCCGATGTCCAACCCCGAAACTCGGCAATTCGCCAGCGATCTTCGGAAACGGCCCCAGGCTGCACAATCAACCTCGGATGCCGTACCAGAATGGAGGAAGACCATCGCCAAGGATCAGTCTCTAGGAAAACGAACCAGCATGACGATCAAGGAGCAACGAGAGTCCCTGCCCGTTTATGCTTTCAGACAGCAACTTATCCAAGCTGTCAGGGAGAACCAGATCATGATCGTGGTCGGCGAAACTGGCTCCGGCAAGACCACACAGCTCACACAGTACCTTGCGGAAGCCGGGTTCACCAACAACGGTATGATTGGGTGCACACAGCCTCGTCGTGTGGCTGCCGTCTCGGTTGCCAAGCGTGTTTCCGAGGAAGTTGGGTGCCAGCTCGGCCAGGAGGTTGGTTACACTATCAGATTCGAGGATGTCACCAGTCCTGCAACCAAGATCAAGTACATGACGGACGGAATGTAAGTGTGATTTCTTCCGGCGCTGTAAGCTCCATTGCTAACCCAGCCCAGGTTGCAACGTGAAATCCTCATGGACCCCGACCTCAAGAGGTATTCAGTCATTATGCTTGACGAAGCCCACGAGCGGACAATCGCGACGGATGTCCTCTTCGCGTTGCTGAAGAAGACCATCAAGAAACGAGACGACCTCAAAATCATCGTCACAAGTGCCACGCTGGATGCTGATAAGTTCAGCGAGTATTTCAACTCGTGTCCCATCTTCACCATCCCCGGACGCACCTTTCCGGTTGAAATTCTTTACTCACGCGAGCCGTAAGTTCGCCCCCTACGATCCCCTTGCTGTGGTATCGACGTACAAATGACTGACGAATGTCTGCAGTGAATCGGATTACCTTGATGCCGCGTTGACCACGGTGATGCAAATCCATTTAAGCGAACCCATGGGCGACATTCTACTGTTCTTGACTGGGCAGGAAGAAATCGACACGGCCTGTGAAATTCTATACGAGAGGATGAAAGCGTTAGGAGCAGGTGTTCCAGAGCTCATCATTCTCCCGGTTTATTCGGCGCTTCCAAGTGAGATGCAGAGTAAGATCTTCGAACCAGCGCCGCCCGGCAGCCGTAAAGTTGTCATCGCCACCAACATTGCCGAGACGTCGATTACCATTGACTACATCTACTACGTTATCGACCCCGGCTTCGTGAAGCAGAATGCGTACGACCCGAAACTGGGAATGGATTCCCTGGTGGTTACCCCTGTTTCCCAAGCACAAGCGAATCAGCGAGCGGGCAGAGCTGGACGGACAGGTCCCGGCAAGTGTTTCCGCTTGTACACAGAGGCCGCATACCAGTCGGAGATGTTACCGACTACCATTCCCGAGATTCAGCGGCAGAATCTATCAACGACGATTCTTATGTTGAAGGCCATGGGCATCAACGACCTGCTTCGCTTCGACTTTATGGATGTAAGTCGCTTCAGCCCTCGAATCCATCACCTTCCCGTTACTAACTCTCTCGTAGCCACCCCCTGTTAACACCATGCTTACGGCGCTCGAGGAGTTATATGCATTGGGGGCCTTGGATGACGAAGGGCTACTCACCCGCCAAGGGAGAAAGATGGCGGATTTCCCTATGGAGCCGACGCTGTCCAAGGTTCTCATTGCTTCGGTCGACAAGGGCTGCTCTGACGAGATGGTGACCATCGTTTCGATGCTCAACTTGCTCCAGGTCTTTTACCGGCCGAAAGAAAAGCAGGCGCAAGCGGACCAGAAGAAAGCCAAGTCCACGACCCGTCGGGCGATCATCTTACGCTACTGAACGTCTACACCTCCTGGAAAAACAACGGCTTCGCCAACGCGTGGTGTTTCGAGAACTTCATCCAAGCTCGCTCGATGCGCCGCGCTAAGGATGTCCGTGACCAAATCGTTAAAATCATGGAACGCCATAGGCATCCCATCATCAGCTGTGGCCGCGACACAGACAAAATCCGGCGGTCCCTCTGTTCGGGCTTTTTCCGCAACACAGCCCGCAAGGACCCGCAAGAGGGCTACAAGACTCTTATTGAGGGTACTCCTGTCTACCTCCACCCGAGCTCGGCACTGTTTGGTAAGCAGGCCGAGTGGGTTGTCTACCATACCCTTGTGCTCACGACGCGCGAGTACATGCATTTCACGACCACTATTGAGCCTAAGTGGCTGGCAGATGAGGCGCCAACCTTCTTCAAGGTGGCGCCGACGGATCGGTTGAGCAAGAGGAAGCAGGCTGAGAGGATCCAGCCGTTGTATAACAAGTACGCCACCGAGGACGACTGGCGGCTGAGCGCGCAGCGCAGGGCGGGACGGTCTGGTGGCGGTGGTGGGACATGGGGTTGAATTGTCGCGGGCTGTATCGATTGGTATATCTCTAGCGTTTGCTGGATGCTTGTGTATTTCCATAGCGAAGAGCGTGGGCCTGAGTGGAAAACAATAGAACTGTGATACCCTTTCACCAAATGGGTCCCAGGCACTTTGGCCAAAAAAAGCTGAACTCCAAGTGTAGGTGCCGCCGAAGCGTTCGACTAGAGGAACGAAAATAAAGTCATCCAAAATTAGTTTGACTCGATTTCTTTTATTTATTTGATTTATTTTGCTCGGGTTTCCTAGCCTCTTCTTTTTCTTGATTTTCTTCGTCCTCCGTCTTTTCTTGATCCTCTTTTCTCGCCTTTCTTGTTCGGCTTTTTTTGGCCAGAGTGTGCCTAGGTGTTATTGCGGCAGCAGGCGAGAGGCCGGATCAAACGCTGATGGCCCGCCAAGCCCAACATGAGCCAGTGCCTGAGATGTTCACCCGATCATCCACCCAACCTGTCAACATACATGAATCGACTTATGCTTTCGCCTCAGATACGGTCCCGCCAAGGGCCCATTGCATTTGTGACTTCATCTCTCTTTCCTCCAGGTTGTTTAAGGCAGTGGCAGGTCCCCCTTCCCCGCCCCGAGCAACGTCGCACCAGTTAATTCATTGATGATGGACCCCGACCGCGAGGAAGTCCAACGAGCTCTCTCGCTCATCGAGGATCTCGATCTGCCGCACCCGACAGGCCCATTGATCTCGTTATTTGTAACAGAGGCTCTTCACCCCGTCCTCGCCGCGCGCTACGTTATCAACAGACTGTCAACGGGCAAAGCTCGCTCTCTGGTGGCCGACTGGATCTATATTGTTGAATCAGGTGAGCATCTTGCCAGGCTTTCACTCCTTTCTTTACCTGATGACTCTCAGTGACGAGATTTGGTCGTCCCCGGCCACCCCCTGATGCCAAAACTCAGCAAAATGTCAGGAAACGAGATGGGAATAGGTGTTGCATTACCGGCAAGGCCGGTACTCTTTGGGATCCTTTGCTTGTTGTGCCTATTCTTCCTATTCCCTCCCGCTGGGCTGTAGACAAGGTGTGTGAAGGCCATTTGGTTATTCCATTATGCTAGAGATCTGCTAACCATTCATGCCATTCGAAGCCTCGCATATTTGACATGCTCGGGGCATTCTTCACGCCGGCAAAAACGGGACTGGTGGCTCTCACAGGTTGAGGACCCCGAACTACTGCCACAGTGTCTCAGCCACTGGCTGGTTCGCAAGTCTGCTGCTGAAGCCTTCGCACGGGGTATTGTTATCTTGAACAGGCGGCTACCATCCGTGATCGAGGTGAGGCGGGACATGGCCCCTATTTTCTTCCTCTGGCCACGAGACTAACAATCAACGCCTGCAACCAAAGTATGAAGTCGAGCCATATCAACACTGCGGCCGAGGAGCCATTCGAAGTCGACGGTCCATATGCACTCCTCGGTGATCACTCACGCTCGGGCATCATGACAGTAGAACCCGCACTTTATCACGCACTCAAGCTCGACTGGCCAGGAGCATCCGATATGTCGGCACTCGCCAAAACCATCGCGCCTCAAATCTTTCCCTCACAACAATGGCAGCCCCCCATGGAGGGACAGCTTACAGCTCGGGAAGCTACACTTCCGCAAACGTTCCACTTCCAACCAACCAGCATACTCAACAACCTTCTCCGGTTCTACGTGCGCTGCTTTTTTCAGGGCTGGCGCTGTCTCCGCAGGGAATGCCGCGCCGCCGCCTACGACCTCCTCCGCCACCTCGGCGACCTCCTCTACGGCGTGCCCGACCCGACCTACTACGTCCGGCGCCTCCCCTTCGGGCTCTACCTCAAATACCGCAGCGAAGCGGACCTCGCGCGCAACGAATTCAACGCGCTCACCCCGCCTGCACCACGAGACCTCCATCCCGGCCCCGACCCCGCTCGACCTCCTCCCCGACGAGGAAGACAACGCCTACCTGCTCATGACCCGCCTCCCCGGCCACCCGCTCTGGCGCTGCCAGGAGCTCTTCTCCGACGCCGACTGCGACGCCATCGTCGCCCAGCTGCAGGACTACGTGGGCCAGCTGCGCGCCCTGCCCCGCACCGGCGCCGCCGCTACCAACCGCCACATGCTCATCTGCAACACCCTGGGCGGCGCGTGCCGCGAGCACCGCATCCGGGAGGCGGCGCCCGTGGGACCTTTCGCGGACGAGGCGGCGTTTAGCAGGTGTTTGCGGCTGGGGGATGACCCCGCGCGCAGAGGCCATGGGGTGGTGTTTACGCATGCGGATCTGAGTCCAAGGAATGTGCTGGTGGAGAGGTTTGTGAGGTGGGATGGGAGGCCTGGGTGGCGGGTCACGGGGATTGTGGATTGGGAGACGGCAGGGTATTATCCCGAGTATTGGGACTATACGAAGGCGGTGTTTGGGGCGGGGAGGTGGAGGAGGAGGTATGTGGGTATGGTGCATAGGGTGTTTGCGGCGTTTGGGGACTATTCGAGGGAGTTGGATGTGGAGAGGAGGAGTTGGGAGTTGGGTGATGGTGTATAGGTGCCAGCTATGTCCTTGGTACGTTGTGTTGTGTGTGGGGAGATATTCAACTCTCCAGGTTTGTGACGAACCTACTTCAGGACCCTGTCCTGTTAGGGTTCAGCTTCGGTCGAAGGTAACCTCTCAAGGGTGCTTAGGTTCGGTGCAGCCAAAGGGTGCACAACAAAGACTTGTCTCAACAGTAGGCTTTCGAGCTTGTAGCGAACTGTAGTTGTGATTGCCAACTGGAGAACTCCCAGAGCTCTCCAGAACGAGTGACTATATACTATCTACTTGAGGGTGCTCAGGGTGCTCACGACTCCCTTAATGAGCAGAATGAGCACTTGCTCACTCCCTTGGCAGGGTCCTTTCTGAGCAATGGGTCGGACGTCCCATTGGCCATCCTTCTTACTTAATGATTGGCTCGGGGTACTGCCAGCGTACCCCGCCGGCCGGCTGCATGCGGCCATAATCGTGACAAGGCTCCAGTGGGTAATAAGACGCGCAACGATAGCAATATGAGTAAACTGGGAAACATGAGTGTAAACGTTAACATTCGAATGTTTCTTAAACGAGCCAAGGGCCAGTGGTTAAAAGATATTATCAATGTTGATTGTTAAAGCATTCCTCGTCCTAACCCTGACTTTCATGGGCGCCGGATGGTTCAGATGTTGATATCACTTCCGGCGGCTCGGTGTTTACCCCAGAACTAAAACCTCTCCGGTTTGGTGAGGAGTATGCGACCATTAGGCCCAAGAGAATGACCAATAGGCTGATTGGCGCCAGGATATTGTGTAAAATCAAAGTATCCGCACCATTTCGCCCACTACTAGGTGCCTAAATAAGTCTCAGTTGTAGGAGTGGGAGACTGGGCCTACCTCCGTACCTCCACAGGTCTTGACTGGCTGGATTCTTGTCATCACCGGAAATGTCCGAGACGTTCTGCCCGAAGTATGAGATGAAAAGGACAGGGGCAGCTACTTTCGGCAAGATCCAAGCGGTATTGCACTCACGCGGTATTTGCTCGCTTCGGGCTATTAGTGACTATAGAGGTTTTTCCTTCGCTTCATGGCGTTGCATACCGGGATGCAACCCCGGCCGCAGCTTGCCTCGCCTGTTACTCGTCCTCCGATTATGGTCATGGATCTGAGCGGGATAATTAGACAACGGACTGGATGCAAAGCGGACCCACAAACCATCTCCAATTGACCCGAGGAGCTGTGACATTTGTTTGTTTTTCGCTTGTAGAAAAGCGGCTTCCATTGGAAGAAAGTATGAAAGCGGTTATTTTGACGAATGCTGGGAGGTATCTGGCAGCATCAAGGCAAAAAAAAAGTGAAACCTCCTTTTACAGGAACCACGATGGCTTCATTATCATTTACCAATACGCTAGCCGCATTCCAAACACACTTGTCTTGGCGTTTCGAACCGTGGACCTCGTGAGACCGCGCCAGGGAATGTTGGCTTCGATTCCAGCAGCTGACGTCAATCAATGTTGGATGAGTTGTGTCAAGATCAAGTCGTGGCTTGTTTTGGAAGTTCCCCACGCCAAATTATGTCACAAGCAGGGCAATCACGTCGTATGAGAGCCAGCATCGTTTGTTGATCATGTAAAGATGCTTCGAAAAATCAAGCCGAGCTGCCGAGGCAGATGCCGTTGCTTGGCAGGATGGGTTGAAAACAGTACATGCAACGACATAGTTAACTGCAGGGGCAGTTCTTCAAATTCTTCACGCGGCACGGTTGGTGTCGTGAGTAACTGTATAGCCACGGTTGCTACAACGATGGAGCCTCGGAGCACATGGAAGAGGGCCAACACGTTCCAGAATTCATGCTTGGGTCGTCTCCGGTCTCCCGTTCCCGAGGTGTGTCGGTGAGGCGGGTACGGGTGGGGCACCATGTGAAGCGGGTTTGCGGTTAAATCGTTGTCGAAATGACGTCGGGATAGGCGGTCAGCTGGCTGTTCGAGGCTGGTTCCGGCTGAAATGCCCTTGGAAGGGCGTGCTGCGCCCCCCTGTGGCCGGGCCGGTCTTGGCGCCGCAACCGAGCCACAAAACAACGGTGGCAAACTGAAACGAACAACTTGGGCTCTTGGGCCGGCCTGGTCGTGCCTGGGAGCCCGGTCGCCGGCTGGGGCTCACGGGATTCGTATCAAAATATGTCCTTGCTATGTTTAGAACGGCCAATGTCGGGGGCCCGGCGGTGAGTTGGGAAAAAAAAGGGCCGGGCCGCGGCTGAGAGATTGACATGAAGTTTCTGAACGTGGCATCCGTATTGTTGAGTTCAGACGGCGGTGACCTGCAAAGGGTTTCAGACGCGGGCAAGAGAGCGACTTGGGATTCGAGGGATTTGTTGAATTCTGAACCAGGGGTCCAGCGCAGGCACCTTTCCGGTGCATCGTGCAGATATGTACATCTACCCTCGTACCGACTCTGTGTGGCGGGTGCGAGCTTGTGTGTGGCAGCTGGCGGTGTGCTTTGTGTGCATCAGCGCCCTTACGCAAGTCGGTGTTTTGGCCAACCAGAGACGACCGATAAACATCCATGGGCACACCGATCTGGGCCGTGGCGATCGCGGTGGTGGGGTGTCGGGGGCTATCGGAGGGGCCGGCGGGCCGGAAAACGTCGCTAATAATAAAGTGACAAAACTCAAAAACCCCTCATTGGGCTGCAAATGTCTCGCCCATCGCGGGCCGTATTGAACACATTCCTGGAGAGGCGCGATTGGCGAAAGGAAACAAGGGATGAATTGGGCACGTCGCGTGTTTAGGCCGTCTCGTCAGGGCCGCCAGGGACCCGGCAAGGCCTAGTGGCAGCAACAAAGGCCTCGATGTTTGGGAATGTGCCCCACGGCCCCGCCACCCTCCCCCCATGCGGGGCCCCCTCCGAGCCGTCACCGATAAAATTCCCTCGGTCCCTGCATTGAAATGTGACTCTTCGCAACTGCCCAGGTCCTGTGCCGTCACTTATTTGATTTCCTTGTTTTATTGTTGCTTGCATTCAGAAACAACAACAACATATCTCACGGCTTCGTCCCCCCCTTTCGATATTCCTTTCCATACTAGATACCCCAGTTTCCCAAACACAACAACAGTAACACCGCAACTATGGTACGTGGACAAATTTTCAGCTTGTTGTGGGCCCCACTTATTAACAAACTTGTGCGCAGGCGACATCAGAAACATCAATTTCCCGGTCAGAGATCGTAAGCACCAACAGGACGCACGAGCAGTAGCTCCGAGCGCAGGACTAACGTGCCACCGCCTTTAGGTCAACAACTACACCTCTCTCGACCAGAAGGGCATCGTCATCGCAGAATACGTCTGGATCGATGCCGAAGGCAACAACCGCTCCAAGACTCGCGTACGTCCCTCCGAGCCCCTTAGAACTCGAAGTAAACACGGGTAGCTGACTCAGATTGCAGACCCTTGAGCCTCGTGACGATGGCAAGCAGTGGGACGTTGACACATTACCCATCTGGAACTTCGATGGGAGTTCCACTGCCCAGGCGCCTGGCGAGAACTCGGATGTCTACCTCCGCCCCTGTGCCGTCTACCCCGACCCCTTCAGGAAGGGCGACAACATCCTGTACGTTTTCAATATTTGGAAAAAGTCGGTGGTTGTAGGTGAGGCTCGCGCTAACACGTTGCTAGTGTCTTGACAGAGTGCTGGAACCATGACGGGACCCCTAACAAGTACAACTACCGCCATGAGTGCGCCAAGCTCATGCAGGCACATGCCGAGACAGTACCCTGGTTCGGTCTGGAGCAGGAGTACACTCTCCTTGATCTGAACGACAAGCCGTACGGCTGGCCCCAGAACGTATGTTGCTGTTCGCTCGGAACTAGACGCTTGACGGCTGAAAGACTAACCCTCCTTTTTCGTAGGGTTTCCCTGCTCCTCAAGGCCCATATTACTGCGGCGTCGGTGCTGGCCGGGTGGTTCAGCGCGATATTGTCGAGAGCCACCTGCGCGCCTGCATTTACGCCGGCGTCAAGATCTCGGGCACCAACGCCGAGGTCAGCAAGTCACAATGGGAGTTCCAGGTCGGCCCTTGCGTCGGCATCAGCAGTAAGTTGCATTGGATGCCACAATCTCGGGAATAGTTCACTGACTTGAGATTTAGTGGGTGACGATCTCTGGATCGCCCGTTACATTCTCTCCCGCGTCGCTGAGGACTTCGGCGTCAAGGTTTCGCTGCACCCCAAGCTGATCCCTGGCGACTGGAACGGCGCCGGCATGCACAGCAACTTCTCCACCCAGGAGATGCGCGAAGAGGGTGGCATGAAGGCGATCGAGGCTGCCATCAAGAAGCTCGAGGGCCGCCACCTGGAGCACATCGCCGTCTATGGCGAGGACAACGAGAAGCGCCTCACTGGCCGTCACGAGACTGGTGCCATTGACTCATTTACCTAGTATGTTAACCCACCGCTGCCTGCACCAAACAAGATTTGAAACTAACCCGAACTCTAGTGGCGTTGCTAACCGCGGCGCATCCATCCGTATTCCCCGGGAAGTCGCTGCCAAGGGCTGCGGTTACTTCGAGGACCGCAGGCCCGCGAGTAACGCCGATCCTTACCGTGTCACTGGTATTCTCATGGAGACGATTTATGGCGCTGTCTAAGGGTTGGTTTAGTGTCAGTTTGGATTCGTCGCTTTGAGAGCATCTGAGTGGCCTAGCCCGGTGGGCCGCGCTGAGTTTTGATGGAGGGCACTCCGCCGGTTTTCATACATTGGTTATATTTTCGGGACCTACCCTTGTTTAGATCTGCCCACGAGGCTAGTCAAAAGGGATCAGGATATTTAGAGGCGTACTGCCTGCCTGCCTGCCTGCCTTGCCAGCTTTATATGAAGGCTAATGCATGGCTCGGAAGGCTGCGAGCATTTGGGTTATGACGCTGCGTGTTAACATAGAGCATTATCGTAGGGCGCCACGGGTCTTTAGGAAAGGGTACACCGTTTACAGGACATAATATCAATAGACAGGATGAAGCGGCAGAGCTATCATCCACCGCCTTTCGGCATTTTACATTGGCGTCCCCATCTTGCCCAAACTTGCCGCTTGAACACTAGGTCACTTGCTGCCCCGAGAACTGTACTTTGGATTATGCACCGCGAAAGAAGGCCTACATAGGGGGTAAGCAGAGGGTTGTTTCTCGACGTTGACTCTGGAGAAGTTCGTCTTGTGTATATCACAGTCCCGATCTTTGACGGTAGAGCCATGGTTGGCTTAGATAGGGGCGTTGCTATCATTGTTCTTGGGTTCCATGTGAATTACTGTTTAAGCACGGACGGCGTCTGGGGAAGGGTCGTATCACGGCTTCCTAGCCTGGTGCCAAGGGGCGCTCGGCTACTGCCCCCCCGTGGGCGTGTGTGAATGCGTCCCGCGAGGATCCGCTGCTATGCACAAGATGGCTCTCTCCCCAAGACCTAGGCAGCTCCAACTTCCTGGATGGGGGTCGGTCACAGTACCTGCCTACTACGCAAGGTATGGCACTTGGATTGCAATCAAAGGGGAGGAGGAGAGAGGCTACTAGTGCAGACTGATGGTCTGTTCTCGATCTAAAGCCACCTTCCTCCGACGAGAAAAGCAATGGCTCTTGCATCTACAATCCGTCATGGTACTGCGTCAGGGGAGGAGCACTGCACATGCCAAGCAAATAGTTAAGTCGTCTCTTGCTCGCGAACGGGACCAAGAAACTTGAAATTGCAGTTGAAGCACTCTAATTCTCAAGTTGCCTTCCATTTATCTTGTTACTGTCTTTGATATACAACTAGGTAGTTTCCTTCCCACCAGAATTTCCACCCGTAGCATACCTTATTCCAATACCTTTGGCACTTGACGATGCCCAACTTCAGCAAGGACCGAGTGTATATCGCGCTCTTTGGAACAAGGAAACCAATCCGCCAAGGTATGCCAACCAAGGGGCCGGGGAAAGCGAGGAGGGACAAAAGCAAACTGACATATTCTTCCTCAGGTACCACTGGGGCTTCTGCATATGCCCCGAACAGGAAAATAACGGAGCAATCACTGGCCACGCCTACCGCATTGAGGAGGTGATTGGCTCCCTATCATTAAGAGTCTACCCTCTCGACCGGGTGCACAACGACACCGACCGCTTGCTTGCGCGCATCCTAATTGCTGAGACTGGAGACAAGGCCGGAGTGGAAAAGATTATATCCGACTCAAATCACATCAAGGCTGGTACTCCGCAATGGAACGTACACGTCTGGATGGACGCGATCGTGCAGGCGTTGAAAGATGACCATGAAAAGCACGGTTCTGTGTGGAGTATGGTTGGGCATGGTTGGCCCTATATGAGAGCTGTCGCTCGACGGTACGTGCGTTCGGAGATTGCGCATGGGAGGTATCGTTGGCCTTTTGTTGTGGAAGAGCCCGCATCGACTTTTTGCCTGTTTGAGAACAGGGTGCTTACAGCCTAGGCTCTCATTGCCCTTCGCTGGTGGGGATATCACGCGGGCTCTTGTGGATGGAAACGCAGTGCGCAAGGGATGTGGCCAGCGAGGATGTTGTCAGCGATCAACTTCGATGGGGAGGAAGGGGATAGAATACGTATTAATAAAGTATAGCGGATCCGGGGATGATGGAAGGGGAAATAATACCGGGCCTTTTCTTAATTTGACGCAACGCTATCTGGTTCTTGTGTTCTACCAACTTGCACCTCCTTTGTAGAAATGGCACCCAAACGTTTGGTGTTTGGGAGCCAAGGGGCATAGCCTCATAAAATGAGGAGGTTGTTTTGCTCTGCGAGCCTGCGCCACTGCTTCCCGAGTCATCGGCTAGAGCGGCAAGTCGAAGTCCGTCCTCGGCCAAGCAAAAGGAAATGAGACGCCAAATCCTCCTACAATCCCGCGGCCACTACTCCTTTAACTCGACCCGAATGCCTCCCAACATTCCCGATATTTTTTTGCGAGTTTTTCTTCTAATTGGTATTATTATCATTTTATTTAGTGTGGCATGATGTTTATCACAATGCGGATAACAGCGCTCTCATTGCTGCTTGGCGCCGGATCGGTGGCCGCTTTGGAAGTCGACTTTGACTCTACAAGTGAGGCAACATCAACATAGATTGAACGCGTTGAGATGAGCTATTGAAGAACTAACTTAATTCTCAGGCTCGGTCAAGGCCGCCGCCAAAGATGTCGCGTTCGACCTCATGTCCTACTACAAGGGCAACCAGAGCGGCGAAATCCCGGGCCTCCTCACCGAGGACGTGAGCAAGTGGTGGACCAACGCCCTGGTGTGGTCCAGCATGATCGACTATTGGCGTTACACGGGAGACGACACGTACAACAAGGTAACAGTAGAGGGTCTGATCTTCCAGAGCGGTCCGAGCCTCCGACAACCTTTCCTCCCGGCCAACTACTCCATCAGCATAGCGAACGATGAACAGGGTCTGTGGGGCATGGCGGCCATGCAGGCCGCCGAGGTGGACTTCCCAAGCCCTCCGCAGGGCGAGCCGAGCTGGATCGAGCTCGCGAAAGCCGTGTTTGACACGCAAGCAGCGCGCTTCTCTGCCGAGAAGACGTGCGGCGGTGGTCTGCGCTGGGCCATCTCACCCACATCCGACATGTGGCACGTCAAAAACACCGCGTCCACTGCCGTGTTCCTCAGCCTGGGTGCGCGTTTGTATCGTTTTACCAACAACGAGACTTACGCCGAGTGGGCCGAGCGGAGCTGGAACTGGCTCACCGACATCGGGCTCATCGACGACGAGCTCAACGCCTGGGACTCTGCGGTTGATGGGAACGGGCACTGTTTGGCCATCCTCAAACTCCAATCTTCCCATCCCGCAGCCATTCTCATTCAAGCGGCCGCCTACATGACCTCTCAGGTAAGTTGACGTGCCAATCTGAATCCGAATCTGAATGAACCCCTTACGCACCCCCGTGATTCCGTCCCGACGGCGGAAACAACAACAACAACAACAACACACTAACAACCCGCCCAGACTCCCAACACCACCACCGCCTACCAAACCTGGAAAACCCGCCTCAACAACCTCACTAGCCACACCCTCGCCCATTTCTTCCCCGCCAGCACCAACCTCACCCTCATCGAACGCATGTGCAAACGTCCCCCCAACGACAACGACAAAAGCACCATCACCGCCCCCAAATCCTCCTTCTGCCTCTCCGACCAGCACTACTACAAATCCCTCACCCTGCACGCCCTCCACAACGCCGCCGCCGTCATCCCGCCCCTCCACGAACCGGACCATCCCCTCGCGCGCGCCCTGCGCGCCACGGCCGAGGCGGCCGCCCGCAGCTGTGTGGCGGGGGATACGGGGAGGGGGTGTGCGTTGGAGTGGGCGACGGAGGTGCCCGGGACGGTGTTTGGCGGGAGTGTGCCGGCGGAGTTGACTGCGTTGGCGGCGGTGTTGGCGGCGTTGGGGGGCGGGTTGCCGCCTGTGCGGGGGGGGGATGGGCAGGGGGATGAGGGGGTTGAGGGTGGTGGTGGTGGTGGGAATGGTGGTGGGAATGGTGGTGGGGAGGGCGGTGAGGGTGGTGAGGAGGGAGGGAATGGGGATGGGGGCAGTGGTGGTGCTTCGGTTAGGGTTACCATGGGGTTGGTGCTGGCTGGATTGGCTGCTGCGCTGCTTTGAGGACGGGGATTGGAAATACCCAAGTATAAGTGGTGGCATGTTGCGCATTTACAACCCCATTTCCAGTCATTTGAAAGGATTAATTAGGATGTACCCACTAGAGTTAGACATAAATGATGTGGCATGTTCAACTCGGGACCACCATGGCTCTCGCTGGTTCTTCCCCTTCTGCAGATGAAAGCGCCGCGCCGAGGTGAAAACCCGGAGCATCGACGCCATTGTTCTTGTATCTTTCCAGTACCTGCCCCGGGTAGGTAGTTACCGCTCTTGCCCTGTAAGCGTCTGCAGAATCAAGAGCAATTGCCTCTGCTGTCCCCGAGCAGAACACAAAGAGCACAGACATCCCACTGCCCCTGTAAATTCCCAACCCTTCCTTGCTCACTTTACTGATATCACTTTACGCAAGGCAGAATTAACCGCGACCCATCTCCACCTAAAGCCCCAACCCCGCGGTAGAGACGACCGCTATTTTTATCAGAAATCCAATACACCACGCTCACCCCGAACATCTATGCCCCGGAAAGAGGGCCGGGAACCGGCAAAGAAGCATTGCAGCAGTGCTACGGACCGGACTGCCAGCTGTACTTGCCATGAGTGCCGCCGGCTTCGGGTCGATTTCAGCGGAGTCGATCCCGATCTCGAACTCCCGAATCTACATCAACCCAAAATATGGACTCGGCGGAATTTCCATTACAGACCTGTAGCGAACTGTAGTTGTGATTGCTAACTGGAGAACTCCCAGAGCTCTCCAGGACGAGTGACTATATACTGCTATCTGAGTTGTTGGTCCCAGTGCTCCCTGTGCTCCCGGGGAGCATTGGGAGCGTTGGGAGCGTTGGGAGTATAGATGCTCCCCGTGCTCCCGGACCCTGAAGGGAGCGCCGGGAGCACTCCCTTCTGGCGTTATGATTGGTCCTATGTTTCCGTGAATGATTGGACGAGGCGTCCCGCGTCCTGCAAGCCAGGACCGTACGGGTCCTAATCCGTGACAGAAATGACACTCAGACGGAAAGATGGGGAGAGAGAATTTGATGCATTTTTTTCGTCTTCATCCTCAGTGGCGGGCATCTCCCTGGCCTCCTTTTCATAGCTTCTTGTTCAACCCCTGGAACCCCTCTAACACAAGCGCATCAGCAAACAGGCTTCCGTGTTTCGAGTGCCACAACTTCCAACACTGGTATCCGCAAGAAGGTTCCATATGGCGAATCCAACAAGACCCCGTCTTAGCTCGGGAGTTGACCCGCACAATCAAAAACTGTTCCATCGAGTTTGTGAACTCCCCGGACGGCTATGCTTATTCCCTCGCTATGTTTCGGTTCAACTTCAATTCCCCAGATGGCACCGATCCAGACACCTAGGTTGCGTCATGTGTGTTGTACATGAGCGTGGAGGATGCCGGGCACCCTGGCTACAACTATGATCCGGGGGTTTGTATACTCAGGCTCTTCCGCAATACCACCTGCACCTGCACGGCGGAAGTTGCTGTGAGCTTCGAATTTATTACCATTGACGGCTTGAGCTTGCAGACAGTATTAGAGACTATAATGGGCACACACAGCTACTTATCATCCTTCAACAGCCCCATGATGGTATGCAACTTGCTCAAGTTCTATTTTACCCGCGCTGCCCAACCTGAGCCCGGAGCCATTTTACGGCTTGGGTGCCGGGACTGGATGTAAGTCCCACATAATGAATAACGCCTTGTTACAGTGGCACTAACCGCTTACGATCTAGAAGCCAAGTCTTCATCCGCTTGCATGCTACTGGTTTGATAGCATGGGAGGTTTCTGGCATCGGCGGTCACGAGCAGCCAACAAGGAAAATTGACGAGAGGACTTCCCAGCATATGCTTCCTACGCAAAGTTGCATACCCATAGACTGGCTCGCCGCTCGTGGCGTTGGCTTCCACAACATCATCGGAAAGGCTTATGATTACGACAGGGCTTTTGACATTGTCTGGTACAGACCAATGAACCTGAGATACGGCTTGTATGATGGCGGGTTTATCCGGTTTGCGGGGTCGCAAGGGCTGACTTTGGCCGGTGTCACCCATACCTTGCCGTATTGTTAGTTCTGGGGCTTTCTCGAGGAACTCAACTACGATACAAATGGAGCAGCGAATCACTGTTAGGGGATTCTACCTGGGAGCTTGCCTTTAAGCGGAAATGGGGTTTACCCTTCAGCCCTGGCCGGGCATATATCAAATTAACCAGCCGGACGATGCTATTAGTTAGTGGTCAGGGGGCGGTAATATCCGGAACCCTATTTTAGTCGAGGAATCATCTGCCGATCTCCGAACACGCGGCTCTTCGCTCATTCACCACTGCGAAGGGTTGGATTAGAATAAGTGGCCCCGTCCGCCGCTCCAGCTTCCCACCTATCGGTGATTCTAGAAGCTCCCTAGTTTAATTAAGCACCTCCGAAGTCTGTAAATTAAGAGGGGAACAACAACGTTGGATCACGTATGGTTGCCTACATATGTACACCGGCCCCATTCGCCTTGGCCGAAGCTTGTCCATAGACCCTCCAACGTCCTCCATCCAGTTACGATACTGTTATAATCACGATGCTCGGTACCTCTGTTGTCCTCCTCGCCCTTGCCGCGGTCGGCCTCGCTCAGGTCCCCGAGGGCTACCGCGCCGTATACATCACGTCGAATGTAGACCCCAAGTTTGTAATCGTCGCGAAGGCGCGGACTACCGGCAGCACCACCATCGTGTATGTCTTATTCCCCCCGCCAAAACATCGTCCTGTAAAACCGTAACCCGCTAACCGGAACGTTTGCGCCCACACAGCCAAACCCGCAAAAGCACCCCGGAGCAGCAGTGGTACCTCAAGGACGGCGCGACCAAGATCCAGCTCGCTGGCACCACGCTCTGCATGGACGGAGGCGCCAAGGGTAAGTTTGGATAGGTAGGGGGGTAGGAGGGGGAACAACAGGAGCCATAGCCTCACCCTGAAAATACCTAACCAGAGAACGAAAAGCGCTGACGTTTCGGAACCAACACAGCCAACTGGAAGGACATGGGCAACATCTACGTCAACGAGTGCGCCGAGACCGAGTCCCAGAACTGGTTTGTCATGGCCGACGGTCGCATTGCGCTGGAGCCCTCGGGCCAGAGTAAGTCTTTCGGTGGTTGTTCATCTGTTACCCCTGAGACCCTGAGCCCCTGAGCCCCTTAACCCCCTTCCCTTTCACCAGCCTCCCAAATCTCAGCATGTCATCCAATCGTGCAGCAACACATAACCCCGTCGATTTGAGCATGTAGACTGACATCAAAACAGAGCAGTGCGTCGACTTGGTTTACATGAGGGCGGTGGAGAACAACGCGGTTGGGCTGTACAGCTGTGCCGGGCTGGGCAACACGGGGGCGGCCGACAAGGGGATCAACTGGCCGTTGGTCAACGCCACTGCTCCTGCTTAAGTCAAATAGGCGGTGTTATCGGACCTAGGGGGTCGAAATGTAACTCGGTTTGGCTCAAGAGACTCAATGAGCATGTGCATGTGTTGCTATCTACCTGCATCGCATCCAGAGCGGGACCATTACTCCCTGCCCTGCCTTCTCCCACACCACAGCCCAACCACGGTACCACTCCCAAGCACACACACATCACTCCATCTCCCCCCCCCCCCCCCCCCCCCCCCATCCCCCTTCGCTCAGTTCACTTCCACTCCCTTATAATCAACTCCGCCGCCCTCTCCCCAACCGCATACGCCGTCGCCATCAAATGCGACCCCGGCACCAGCGGCAGAACACTAATATCCACCACCCGCAACCTCCCCCCAGCCCCATGCACCTTGAGATCCGTGCCCACAACCCCCCCCTTCTCCTCCGGCAGCATCGCCGCCGTACAGCACGGGTGATTAAACGACAGCGACGCGGAGTCGCGCACAAACGCGCGCAGCGCGTCGTCATCGGCATCATCCACCGCGGCCCCGGGCGCGACCTCGACGGCGCCGTAGCGGCGCAGCGTGGCGGTGGCGCCGGCCCGACGCAGGAAGCGCACGTGTGCGAGGTGCAGGTCGAAGTCGACGGGGTTGGTGCCCGCGCGGGAGTCGAGGATGGGTTGGGCGAGGGGGTTGGCGGGGTCGAGGCGGACGGTGCCGCGGCTGAGGGGGTGCAGGAGGATGGCGGAGGCGGAGGCGCCGGTCCAGAAGGGCGATTCGATGCTGGGGGATTGCGCGTTGGCGAGAAGGTCCGCGAGGGCGGAGAGCTGGGCTTGGTAGCCGGCGATCATGGGGGTGGAGGTGCGGTGGTCTGGCGGGAGGTAGGATGCTGCGAGGGCGGCGTCGGCGGCGATGGCGCGGATTTTGGTAATGATGGATCCGTGGTTGGAGGGGGCAAGGTGGGGGAGCGAGACGTACGCGGCGCTGTTGGCCAGGGCGAGCGTGTAGGGGCCGCGCGAGGGGGTCTCGTTGAAGCCCGCCGCTGCGTCGGCGGCGAACGCGGTGTCGTCCATGGCGCTGGGGACCGGGTGGAAGTCGCCGGGTGTGGTGACTGGACGGTTGCTCGAGTTAGCAGAAGCACGGTTATTGGTCATTAGCCAAGGACATACGGTTCCATGAGACGGACGGCCCAGTGTGGTCCTGGAAGTTGGAGCCGACACCGGGGAGATCGAGCACAAGCGGGATGCCCGCGGACTCCAGCACTGACGCCGGGCCAATGCCGCTTCTCATCAAAACAGTAGGTGTGTGGATGGCACCGGCTGAGATGATAACCTCGGCCTTGGCTGTCACGTTAAACAGGTTGTCATCAGCCAGTGATCGGACCTCAACAATCGGCGGGCCAGCGTTGCGTCTAGCTTTCTTGGGATACACAACCCTGACGCCCTGGTGCTTCACGAGAAGGTCGTAGTTGGGCCTGGTGTCGATGACAGCAGCGTAGTGGCCAAGCCTGGCATGAGAGCGAAGCGCAGTCACGGGATGTTGCGTGGTAGGCACCCAGCAAATGCCTTCCTTGTTACCGTTGGCACATTCTTTGGGTTCTTGGACACCCAGCTCTTTGTACGTATCCCACATAACGTGCTGGTCAGCCCATTGGAAGGGGGGGTAGGTGGCGTAGACGGGGGTGGAGCCGCCGTAGGCCGAAACATCCCAAGTATAACCATAGTCCTCAACTAGCTCGGTTGATGGCTCTGTGAGTGTGACGCTCTGACAAAGTTTTAGCAAATGCCGGAAACAGATCAGGGAATAGGAAAGAGTTGAGAGTAAGAACACGGGTTTCAAAACACAGAAGGTTGCTGTTACCTTTTTGAAATACGGGAATAGGGTGTCCCAGTTCCAGTTGACACCGGTAGATCCCTGGCTATTGAGTGCCTGCCACGAGTCGTAATCAAAACGCGACCCGCGGTCGAGGAACTGGCCGTTGACGACGGTGCTCCCGCCAACCACCTGACCAAGGCTGACGAGAGCGGTCTTGTTGTTTACCTCAGGGTTTGGCAGCGATGTGACTTTCCACTGGCTTGCGGGTGTGGTTGGTGGCGGGTCAAAGTTACCAGGCCCAAACTCAATCTCACCATATTCGACGACAAGAACGGTTTCTGGAGAAATGAGCAAGGTGAATCGGGTTGAGAAACATGGGACGCAAGCACGGACTCACTCTTGGGAAAGGCTGCTGTAAGACGGTCAGCCACGGTGAGGCCGCTAGTCCCGCCGCCAACGATGACAAAGTCGTAACTATCACGGAGCTGTGAGGCTTGCCGCTTGACCGTGGAACCGGGGTGAGCGCTCGCCAACGCGGCGAGCGAAACAGTAACGGAGCCCGAGAGACGCATTTTCGTGACGGCTTCGATCAAGGACACGCGCCCCTTTCCTCAAAGACCAGGGCCGTTTGGCCACACATATTTATACTGCTCTACGTCCCGGTAAACCCAAGTAATAGGGGGGTAAGCGGCAAACATATTATGCAATCTGTGATCTGATGTGCATAGCAAGGTAGTAGCGACGTCGTCACCAGCCCTGCAAAACGTGGGCAGCTCACGATCTCAGCTGGTTCCTGAGAACATGATTGTTCCTCGACCCCTGAGGGCTCGGGCCGAGAAGCCCGAGGGAGCCTTCTCTTTGGTATGCCGGCCCGGGCAGGGGTCAGGAAGGAGTCATCACTTGGCATCCCGGAAACTCGTGTCTGACAATGAGCAAGGACAGGCGAGGGGTCGAAGCCTGGTGGCTTGCTGCACGCCAAAGAAAAGCCTTCTTCGGCATCTGTTTCCAAATCCAACTTCCGGGCTTGCCGTCAGATTTTGGTTGGATTTCTGGAAGCGGAATGCTCCAAGCCTCAACCATGAGCACCCCAAGCGTCGTGCTTGACCCCTGGGAGCTGGGACTCAAGTGTGGAGTGTAGTGCATATATTGGATCTTGATACTAAGGTGCTGTGATAGCGCAGGTGGAGCGATGCAGCCTGCAGGAGGTTGGTGTGATTACCGAGGGAGTAATGGGTGCACCGCAGCATTGCACTCGGCCGTTGCCGCCTTGGACCGCGCCATTTCATGCTTGTTTCTGCTTGTGACGGAAACAATCGACGCGCCTGAGCCGTGGTCTCGGGTTCTTCCAAGCCAGTCCTCGTGGCAGCCTGATTGGCGGGATGGTGGACAGATCTTGATTGAAATGGCGGTGAAGTGGCCTCCTTTCTGGTCTTTTTTTCTGAGTTCGTTGCATGGCCCAGGAATTTGTGAAGAAAACCCTTCAGATTGCTACGTGCCGCTCGGTAAGGTAGGGTACGACGGAGGAATCGGAGGCCACTCGACTAGCCCATTCAAATCATTGACTTGGTCTCTCATTCCTTCCTGATTGACCAACGAAGTTTTTGAATCTTCCGATCTTGAACCAATGCATCATTCACCGAGTTCGGGGATGAGTGCAAACCTCAAAATGATGATAGAATTACTTTCATGTACAAATTCCTTTAACGATGTCGTGACAAAAAGTCAGTAAATCCAAGGTACCAGTGGTCACTAGTAAGCCGACCCCGAGTTGCTGCTGATTGCTGACAGGAATGCATCAAAACATGTAACAAGTCCGAGAAGGCTTGCGGCGAAATGATTCCACATGGTGTTTCACTTAATGAGACCCACAGTCCAACTTCATGTTTCCTCACCGGTCTTTGGGGCCTGCTAGAATTATGATCGCGCTTTCATGGTTCCTTGTTTGCTGTGTCATTCACCTCCGGCGGCTGTTTAGGACTCAAGTCAAGGTTCTTGCCCTCCCGCCACTTACAAAAACGTGGCTCAGCAGACCCTACCAAGACACATAGACCACAAAAGGGTTGGTCTGCAGCAACATTCATCGGCGCGGAAAAGCCGAGTAACCTGGGAGCGTTACCAAAAGCCAAAAGGTCAGGGTAAGTGAGAGCGAGATTTCCCATGCTGAAGTGTCACTCAGAGAAGATTAGCTGACACTCAGCCTGACAGCTGGCCCGGATAAAACATCACTACCTACTTACCTACCTGCTGTTCCCTAAAATGACCGGCTACGAGCTGCCTAAACCGCCAGTTGAGGAGCCGAGACAGTACAGCCAGGATTACGGGTCGACCGAGCGCGCAAGGATGATATCCGGTGAACCAAAGAAGAACGCGGTGGACCCGGAGGTATGGGAGCCGCCCAAAGCACCGGTCGTGCAAAAGTAGTGGAGGGTCATGGGGAGAGGGGTGTATGTGTTGGGGTAAGAATTGGGGGCAAGGCGTCTAAGGAAAGCTGGGCATTATACGATCATTGCCGGGGTATGACATGGCTTTAGTACATTTCCACTCGACAGGGGGTGGGTTTATTTATGTAAAGCAAACAAGAATCACTGTGCTATGGGTTGGAAGGTGTCATATTTCAGTCGCCGTCTCGGGCACCACTTGAAGGACTAAGACGAACTGTTGAGTGCACTGCTGGTCTCGAAACCTGACAATCATTTCATAACTACCTAGGGAAGGTCACACTAACCACACCCAAATCTGAACCGCTGGCAGCTGTCATGTATGAGCGTCTAACAACGAATCCGTCTCTTTCTCCCCCTCCGACGGCGACTGCACATGGCCACCTCCAATCTGAGCCAAAGATATGCCGGGCCGCAATCACTCTTCCGCCCCCGGACATTTTACACAGCTCCGCCAGTTCCTTTCGCTTTCCGCGCATAGGCTGGCGCCTTCTCCCCGACAACGACCTCCGTCAATACGGCCCCAAGCTCCTTTTCGTCACAAAGCTTGCGAGCGCGCCGGTTGCCCCACCGCCCGATGCCGAGCAACTCCGTCCTCCGAGCAAAGTCGAACGTGTCCATCCACACGGGGAGGACCACCTGCGGAACCCCAGCACTATAACACCAGACGGTTAAGTTAGCCACCACAACCCGTAGTGACGCCACCACAACCAACTAACTTACCAAACCGCCTCCAAAAACGAATTCGCCCCCCCATGATGCACCGTACACACCACCACTCCCGACTCCAACACCGCCATCGGTTCCGCCTCCAACCAATCCACGACTTTCACCACGCCCGCCCTAACCTCCTCCCCCAACACCCTCTCCACGACCCCCCCAGCCCGAAACAGCAACTCCCGTTCCCTCCGAATCTCCCCCGCGGAATATTTCGCCCGACTCGGCGTGGCCGCAGCCGAGC